AGGTGGTTGCTAAAAGAAATTGTGTTCATAATATATGAGATTTGAGGTTCTCATGGTGCTGATGATGTTGATTGTAGTCTTCTGGGTTGACACCATATACTTGTTTAGGTTAGGTTACCAGTATTTTGTAGGAATGTATGAACTCCATCTTCAGGGATACATTCTACCCTGCAATATCTCCAAACCAATTGTAACCACCTACAAGACTACATGGTGTCACAAGCAGAAGATCACATTTGACAATTGTATTTATAAGTTGAAGCAATGAGTGTCTTTTAACTGGAGTCCCTACCCTTCTAATGCTTTAACATTTTGTTTGTCTGTTCTTAATTATAAATGTGTTCTAGGTGATGGTTCTATAGTATTAGTTAGTAGGGCTACAGTATGTCGTAATAAGACTTATGTAATGTAATGTATTTTCAAGTGGTAACCCTGTTTATATGAAGTTTCTGCAAAACCAAACATGGAGTGAACATCACATTAATCTAAAGGCATTATATTTTTAGTTATTGACAACATGTCAATTGTTGTTTCCATTGTCTAATTTGTAGTGGTTGTTCAATTTCAGCATCAAAGTCTGATAATGTGAAAGAAAAACAGATGGAAATGGAACATACACAAAACTATTATTGCCCACTTTGTCTTCATTATGGACACTGATAAGCACTGATGTAATGAGTTCTCACAGAAATGAGCAAATCATTATTCATTTCTAACTTACAGGTGTCTTATGTTTGTGCAGTGTACATGAACTTTGGTACAGCTTTGATTAACACATAAGCAAGGAGTAGATGTTTGATATTTAAAAGAGTTGAGAACAAGAAAAGGAGCTAATCTGTTAATGTTTTACTAGTATTTTATTTACTGCATTCTGCATTTTATGTTTTAATTTCTTCACAGTTATCTTTCAGATAATAAATACCAGTAAATAAAATATCCAATATGTTACATCAGTTTTTAAGAAATTATTTGTGTGAAAATCCTGGCATAATGCTGTGTTGAACAGTTGAACATTGATTGCTTTAGGATTTTGGGGTAGTATTACAAATTGTACACATCTTCAAATATTGACTATTTTAATTAAGTAATATATTTTTGTATGCATTTATTATTGTTGTTGTCTTCATATTTTTGAATTATATTTTTGTATGTAAGCACTTATGCTTTGAATTCAAGATGATAATGGACATAAACTGACCAATTAGATTGGAACTGTACCAATATATGAAGATCAATACTACCCTTCTTAGCTGTGCTAGAAGTTATATCATAAAACTTCAATGAGCAGCATTAGCATTAAGGTGACAAGAGAAGATGTGAAAATACATCTCTGGTGAATAGAAACAATAAGTGATTGTTTCACATGGGGCAATGGGTATCTCATAACCTTTATGTATATTCTGTCATGTTTTATTCTTTCGCCACAGTGTGTGATAAAGCGTCTTGAAATAGACAACATATGTATGTCTTTTACTTGTACAGTGTGTTAATATTTTTTTAGTTTCTGATGAGAAGGAAGTTTCTCAAGAATCTGTTGCACTAAAATTCATAATCACATGGCTGGTTATTTGATCTGAAAAGTTCGTACAGTACATATGACTGAAGATATGCATGTGGTTAGACATATACTGGAAATGAGATTAAAGGTAGATTGTGTCAGTTTTGTGTTTGCCATTCTGTTTTTCCACACATTTTCAGAATAATATTGTCTTGCTTAATGTCCGTACTTGAGATCGGTGTGTAGCTGTGGTCTCTATTGTTTTATTCTCACTGTATTATCAACTCATTTGCAGGATGTGTACGTAATTATGCACTGTCTGTTGCAGTTCCCAGTATAGTTGTCCACAACGGATCTGCTAGTGCGCCAGGCAGCCCTACCATGGAGCGGAGTCTTCGCAGTCAACAGACGCTTTCCAAACAGGTGTGCATAAGTAACTACTTAAGATTGCTATACTGTGGTTATTAGTGCCAAATCCAAGACAAGATTTTTAATTTATGCACAACTATATTCATTACAATGCTACTTCTAGGGTTCATCACCTTATTCTATAACAATTAATTAAAAAGATTCTTGATATCATGCAGAAACTGTTGGTGTGTTATCTGCTCTCTGAAAGGGTTTCTTGTCAATTGCTTTGAAAAGCAAATTTTGCCACTGAACCATATCTGAAGATATTTAAATCCGGTCACCATTAACGCTATACACTGAAGATCCATTTTATTGTTATCCTTTTGACTCTAGCTAATCTTCTAAGTAACCACTTTCAAGAATTGGTATTTATTCTTTCCTTGGTCTGGCTTACGCAGCCAATCTATTACCTTAAAGCTTTCTAATTACTTTATTTCTTTAATTTCTCACTTTGTTTTAGATTCAAGTAGCTACCTTAGCGCTTTTACTTATTTTTTAATTTCTCAGAAGTTACCCTTTGCCAAATTCTTGAAATAAAAAATCAGCAAATATCCCAGAGGTTGTCTCTCCAAGAGGAATATTTATATTTAACAGTTTTTCTAAATGCACCAAGTTTTCTTGGATATTCCTGTTCCTAATTTTTTGAAATTAACAAATTAATAATATTCTTGGAGTTATCTCCCAAGAGGAACATTCTTTTTTGTGTTTATTATTTCTTTTTACGATGCACCTTTATGAGAAATAAGGTAGGATGGACAGATGGTTTTCGGCTATTATGTATATATATATTGTAAATAATACATGCCAAAGAAATGTGGCTGTGATACAAATTGTGTTGTTCTGTAGGCAGAGTTTGAAGAGTTGGAAGAAGATAATTCAGTCCCACAAATGTCAAGCCCCTCCAGCAGTCCTTGTGCTACCATATCATCTTGCCACTGCCAAAGTGGTGACAACCCCCCCAGCCCAGTGTCCAGTAATCACACGTCCGACAAGCACAAGACGAAGGAAGTCGGGGATGACATACAGCATCAGCAGCTACAGAGAGCAAATAGTCTGGACGTTGATGACAAGTCACCGCCACCACCTTCAAGAGTCAGGGTAAGACAGAGACTGTATTCTGGGATGTTGTGCCATGTAGTCTTGTAGAAATTGACTGACATTTCGGAGGTGCTTACTGCCTCCAACATCAAAGTGATTGAAATTTTAGAAGTGTTTATTGTCTACATCAGTGGTATTCAACCTTTTTTGTTCGCGTACCCCCAGATATAATTTCTCTTCAACTTTGTGCCCCCAAAGTTTTGGTGTATAATTCAAGTTATACATAGTATATAATCTACATCTAAATTCATTTAAATAAATTACATTACTGATTATTCAGTGTTTATCATAAAATAATATTTTTTTAAATTTCACGCACCCCCTAAGATGTCTTCGCGTATCCCCGGGGGTACACGTACCCCAGGTTGAATACCACTGGTCTACATTATCAGGGTGATTGTCCTGAAGTCTCGAAGCACCTTTGAAATGTTGGTTAGTTTCTACAAGATTACATGGTGCAACATCCCAGAACACAGTTATCTTTATACTCAACATTGAGAGAACCTAAAATCTTACACAGGGTAAGACAGTCTTCACTGTTAAGTAGCTATAAAGATGACCACTTTCTAAATACAGGGCACATGTATTACCACTGAGATAATCTTCTCAGTTGACTTCTAGGTATAACATTCATGGCTGTGAATGTGACAGTCACATATTTTGGTCTGTTTTGAACAGTTATGTTAAGACAAAAACTTTGCACATAATTGGATTATGTTATGGTTGTATGTGTTGAGCTGGGATAACACAGCCAGTAAAGTGATTGACCGTGGGATAAAGGTCCACTGTTTGTTTCTCAGCTGACATAAAGATTTTTTACCACCACATTCAACTCTGTGGACCATTCAGCTTCTTCTCCGATGGGTAGAAGTAGTAAAATAGTCAGGACATTGCAGAACCATTTATGGTTCAACTGTATGTTGCAGTCGCATGCCAAGTTGAAGCTGCTAGTGCGAAGTCATGCCATGAGAGAAGAGACTTCACCTCCTCCAGATCCTGATGCACATCACACACCTGTGCTGGGGCCAGCACCAATGCAACAGCAACAGCAACAGCAACCACAAGCAGTCTCCACCAATAGCTTGTCTGTTGGTCGCCCTAGCTCTAGGCATAAGCTGCGCCACCAAAGTTCATCGCAGGGAAGCATGGACAGTTCTTCACCATGTTTGTCCAGGGGTGTGTAGTTAATTTGGCTTCTATTTTGCTTTGGTTATATACTATGCTGCACTTGAATGCGGTGACCAAGTAGTGAGTATTCTCCTGATGTAAACGTAAAGCTGTCCTGTTATGTGCCAATCAGGAGCTGGAGGGGGGGGGGGATTATAACTCATTCTTCAGCTTGGCAGTAGATGGAGGTGAGTGGTCAGTGTCATGCCCTGTCCATGCTTACTCCCGCAGAAAGGACCCCTGGTATTCATTGGATAGGAGGCTTGGTGGCTTGCAGAGCTGGTCTGGATGCATAGGCTGGAAGAAAAATCCTGTGCCGGGGATTGAATCCAGTTGTCCAGTCCATAGTCAGACACTATACCGACCAACCCACCCTGACTCCTGACGTGCCTGTTTCATTTCTTGGATGGAAATGGGCATCCGTCTTCAGTTTTGTTTCTTGTACTTTTTTCAAGTAAACTGGAAGATCATGTCCTAAAATGGAAACTAGCATCTGCAGAATCCTTAATGACAGTATTATCAGTTATATTGTTTTAATGCCTAATTATGATAAACATATTATTTGTGTTTGCTGTGTCTGTGACACTTAAGTTGTTACTTTGGTTGGGTTCCTCCTGGTATTTGTTTTAGCATTACCATTGTAAATGATGGAGGCACACAAATTTTCAAATAGTTAAGTTACTTTAAAAACAATTTAAGGAAATCTTTACAGTTTGGTAAAGTAACAAGAAGTGATAAGTTGATGTTTGGGTTTGCAGACAGCAGTACAGAGCAGTACACAGACAGCACAGGAGTT